TTTCCTAGCTACTGGATGAGCATTGATTGACGTACACAAAGGAACGTTGACACTGTGGGTTAATGATGAGAGAGTAAATTTCAACATCTATCAAGCGAAGAAACCTTCGAAAAAGGCTGACTCTTACGATATGATCCAATCAGTTGAAGCAGTTGTAGGTAATAGGAAAAAAAGGGATTTATTCTATGACCCTCTAGTGCAGCACATGACTACCAGTTATCCAGCAATGAATACATCTCCTACTGGTAAATACTCAAGGCCCAATGAAGTAGTGGACTCCCTGTTGGCTCATGAAGCCTATCCACCTGACAAAAAGGAAAGTTATATGGAAAAGCCTTAGAACTCCAAACAATGTCAAGCCAAAAGAGGTTTTGAAGGCTATACCAGAGTTACAGCCGTCCAATTCTATTTGTCATTCTACAGTGAAAAAGAATACAAAGCTAAGGATAAAGTTTGGAAAAATGAGAGACGTGCCACATAAAGATCCAACGTAGACAATTTGGTTGAGTCAAGCTAATGATGTTAAAGAAGCATTTCTCGGGAGGAACATTTCAACCAAATTTGACCAAGAAGTCAATGGAAGTAATAGGAAAGCTAGCCGTTGAATTACACGTCATATAAGGGGGGTCTTTTCTTCACTTTCTTCCTCACCCCTTTATATGCAGATTTAGGATTTAAGACATTGAGGATAATGTCTAGTTTAAGTTTGAGGTGGAAAACNTTTTTATTTTTTTTTTTTTTTTTTATCTATTTTTGTGTTTTAATTTAAAAAAGAAATTGAAAAATTTCAAAAATTTCAAAAATATTTTGTTTTTTTGTGCTTGTTGAGTTAATTGGTGTGACTGGTAATGGAGAATGTATTGAATCATAAATTGATTTATGAATGGTGAGTAAGCTGTATGCTTAAATTAATTTTTGCTTTATAATATGAAATTTGATATACTAAGCACATGAATTAAATTAAGCATTGTGTATGAATGAGTTGAATTCATAATTAGATAGGTTGAAATAGTGAACCATAGATGATAAACCCAAAACCACAAAATTTTACATCATTGGACCAAATTTAGAATAATTTGGGGAATTTCACTGTTGTGGGAAGATATTGAGTTAAATGGGGATTACATGTGTGAAAAAAAAAAAAAATTTTAAATCTTATGTGGATTGTCTAGGTCAATATGATGAAATTGGGTGAAAAAGCTCAAGTTAGAGGCTATTTTTCTTAAATTGGTGTTTAATGAGGGACGTTTTACTAATCAATGCATAAGAAAAATTATTATTTTATTTGAAAATTTCTCTTCGTGGCATTTATGACTTGAGCAATTAAGTTTGCAAGGCTCTTTAAAACCTGGTGCCCTATGGTCATCTGACTTAGGAGTTATCGGCCGAAAGCAGTCTGTAAGGCTCTTTAAAACCTGGTACTCTATGGTCATCTGACTTAGGAGTATCGGTCGAAAGTTTGTTACATGTGTCATTTAGAAGGTTAAAGGGTGAGAATGCTTCAAATAAAGAAGAAACAAATTGAAATTTTTTTTTATAGAAAATCAGAAAAAGCAGGTGTATGAAACAGAAGATGCACCAAATGTATTGGTTACGTCCCAAACACTTATTTGAGAAAATTTGACTTTTGATAAGGGATTATTAGCCTAGTTAAGTCCTCGAAATTGAAACAATGAAACTATGGAGAATCTTTGTTTATTGACATATTGACTAACAATTAGTGAGATTTACCTAAATTGGAAAGGTGAGAATAATATAAAATTCAACATTGGTTCACACATTTGAAAAGAGGGAAAAGAATAAGTTTAGGGGTGTGTAAATCTTACGAGTGATGAAAAAATATATTTCACCAATGAAGGTCGGAAATTGAAATAACTTATAAATTCATAATGCGATGTTTAATTCTTCATACACACACACACACACGTCAATTTTACATTGGAAAAGTATATTTTAATTTTTGTATTGTGATTTTGAAATTGTATTATTTTTAATTAATAGTTTGTTATTTTATTTATTAGAATTTCGCTTAAAAAACAAAACTTGATTTGATCATTAGTTACTATTTTAATTTAAATTGAAACTAGGTTAGTTTAAAAATTTATAGTAGATAGTAGTCTCTGTGGGACGATATTCAAATTTAATAAATCCACTTTATTACTTATCACGATCCGTATACTTGTGAAATTTCACGAACAAGAGTCTCTATGCTATACATGATTACACACTTCTAAAGTGTATCCATATATATAAAGTGGTTCTTGCTTTCATAGACTTCCTATATGGGATAAACTCAAATTTAGTTTTCCCTCCAACATAAACCATATTATAATGGTTCATTTTGAACTTCAATTTCTCATTCACCCGAGCTTCATTTTTGACAAATAAATACATGATTTCGTTGTTCTCGCGGAGGAAAACACAAATCAATGTTGATATTCCAAAATAAGCAAATGGGTCCCACTCAAAATTTATGCCAAAGTCAGTCATATACATCAAATTATTCCAACAATCTCACACATGAATGAAAATTGTGAGAGACACAAAATGTGAAACAAAGACTTAGTGATAAAGTTCAATGACTTAAACCTGCATGCCTTACAACTAGATTTTAGGAGTTACATTAAGATTAGCCAAAAACCTTTCTGATACGAATTTGGACACTCATGCTTCCTTTTCTATTTCGTGGAATTAAAAGATCTTTTTATAACGATAAATAAGCATCCTTATAAAAGGAGAGACAATCTTTCCATCTCCAAACTAGTGGGAGATGTCCAGACCAAAGTACTAGCCCAAACGTGATATGGTTTTAAACGAAGGAATTTATGACTAAGAAAACTAGATGAATCAAGGTTCGAGGACTAGCTGGGAGATGAAGTAAGCCCAGCCTAAATAATTTAATCAATAACGAAATACCTTTATTCCATACTCTCAGCCCTGAGACCAGTTATTATAACTTCAATATGCATACAGAAAGGCACATTAGACGAGATTTAAATGAATACATGTATCTTTCACACCTTATCCTTTTAGATTAGATGATTAACTCGTATCAAACTAAAACATCTCACCGAGTCTTGCTATCACCAATTTATAAAAAAAAAATTGCTTCCCTTATATGCGAGCAAGGGCCGTATCAAACGACGAGCTTTTAGATGACATAGTTTAATAATACTCACATATACGTAAAATAACTTTTGGACTGGATGGCCATTACCATTTCTGAGAAATTTTGAAAAGCAAGACATCGATAGGGATTTAGAAATTCTAACTAACTAAAAAATAAATAAATAAATTTGCGGCACAAATCCAATGTTTTCGTCCCCACCTTGATTACGGGGATTGAGGATGGGACTACTCAACTACATTAGAATCAGTATGAATTAATATTTGATTTGATTCTATGTAACATTGGTTCAGTTGAATTCTAAATTTTAAAATCAAAAGAACGATTTTAACACGGTAGCTATGGAGGATTTTGCTATTTCTACATAAAAAATATACGTAGGCAATTACCGAAAATGATGTGGAGGGAAAAGGGATCCATAGAATTTGTGTTTTATGTGAAATCTTCTTTTTTTCCAAGTATCTGATTTTTGAAACATGCATGAAATGGGTCCACCTTTTATGGATGCATGTCTATGAAATTTACGCAGTTCAACCCTAACAACACTTAGAGGGGGTGAATAGGTGTATAATGTGAAATTTAAAAAAACTAACAAATTAAATAGCAACAAGTCACTTTTTAGTTATTTTCTAGATGATTAAACATGCAAGTCATTTTAGTCCTAAGTTTGAATACCGTAATTTATATGATCAATCAATAAACAAAGCGAAAGCAGTAAATCAACACTAGGATAATTACGGAGAATCCAACTGAAAAAAACTCCGGGCACTTTGCTAGTCAACAATCCACTATAAATGATTTATAACTTACAGTCTACTAGCCTAGATGATGACATGTATTATCTGATCTCATGACTGCAATTCCAATAGCTTTCCTGGATTCTGTACTCCTGTACCACTCTCAGTTGCTGTTTCCAAAGCTCTCCTGGATTCTGTTCTCCTGCAGCAAGTCCCAATTTTGTGAAATCGTTTATCTCCTATGGATGCACTAAGAACAGCGTGTTCTTCAACGATTGGAACTTCCAGTCAACTTTCCTCGATCTTTAGCAACTCTGATAGATGTGATAGAAACAAAAGTTTGGTATTTGAATTATGAAATCGATGTTTTTCTCACCAAAACAATGTCAATGGACGAAGGTTGAAAGACAAAATATGGTTGATCACTCACAAGTGAAGATCTCTCAATGTTCAACCTTGTAATTCATATTCAGATGTGTTTTGGTATTTATAGGTAGGTTAGAAAAGTAATGGGCTAGGGAAAAAGCCTTTAAATCGCGAAATAAAAATTTCTCGAACAAACATGTCGCTCGAGCTAGAGCTCAGCGACAGTTGAGTGACAGGCTACCGCTCGAGCTAATGCAGGGCAACAGTCAAGCGATAGAGGTTCTATTTTTTACGCTCGACCCAATCCATGGCAACAGTCTAGCGAAAATCCGTGCCTTATTTATTTTCTTTTGCCATTCTTGAACCCTAGACCTAATAAACCTATTTCACATAATTGCACATTACTCCTTAACTTTTTACAATATTTACAATTAAGTCTCTTTTGTTTACAGAATTACCAATAACACAATTAGAACTTAACAGTCTGGATCAATTAACGGTAACTAAACTCTAAACTCTATCTAATTGTGTTGTAGTTCTGCTTGGATTCATATTCTTGGTTGACTAACAATAATTGTTTTCCTTTCCAACAACAGGTCAATGATTATCCACCTGGGATTGGTTTGTCTCCACATATAGACACCCATTCAGCATTTGAGGGATCAATTTTCAGCCCTTCATTGGCAAGCCCTTGCATCATGAAATTCAGACTGTACTCAAAAGGTGTTTGGCTATCAAGATATACTTCCAGTTTTGATGCAGAGTAGCAAATGTGTGAAAAAGGCTCAAATTTCTTGCGGAGAGCTATTTATCTTCCACCTCGATCAATGTTATTGATATCTGGGGATGGCCGATATGCTTTGCACCATTACATTCCACACCACAAGGTATAGTACTTGTTGTATCTTTCCAGATGTTCGACAATCTTCTATAGAATCTATACAGCATGAATTAACATATACATCTTTAATGAGAACTCAAAAGAAAAAAGCTTGATTACTTGTCAGCTAGAGGCGTGTAGTGGACTGAGATGAAAATTCTATGCACAGGCCTGAACAATTTTTTTTTTTTGTTTGTACCGATATAAATGCAGAACAACCAAAACCAAGGGTATAATTGCTTGACATTATAAAGTTTTGTACATTTATTTTTTAGACATGAACGAGGCAGCAAGCTTTGTGCAGCCACGATTTTGGTTTAAAGTACGTCAGTTTTTATAGTAATGTTGGCTTATATATTTATTTTAATAGTTTGGATGCATTTGCCTTTTTACAGTTTCATTAGGAATTTCTTCAGTGTTCGCAAGTTTACCACAGATCATATATTTAAGCCTAATTTTATCCTTTGCAGTGGAAAAGTAAGCTTTACCTTTTTATTTATTTGATCATGTATTCTTTAGTTTCTGATTTGTTATTTGTGATGCAGGTGGACAAAGTGAAGGACAGTGAAATCCGGAGGTGCTCAAGGAGAGTGTCCCTTACATTAAGCAAGGTATGTGCATTGAAGTCGGCCTTTCTCCATTTCATTATAAAATCCTTTCAGGCTTTGAATGTTGAACTTCATTAATTGTTTTGTGTATGACCTTGTAAAAAATATGATGCCCTTTATAATTTAACATATTTCCTCTCATGCTTACGCTATTCGGAGAATGCCACTTGCGACATACTTACATATGGTCTAGAAATGAGAAAAATAAGAAAATCTCTCTCAAAAATAACATTCGGATAATATAAGGCTGAGCATAATATAATTCAACTTTTCTCTCCCTTAGTTCCATGCTTTAATGTGGTTTCTTTTACGTTCCAATCTGGTGAATCCTTTAAGTTAATGACAACATGGTTCTCTTTCTGCATTTTATTTTTTTTTCACTTTTCTCACATGATGCAGGTCAGGAAAGGTCCTTGCCAATGTGGATTTCCTCTGTATTGTGATTCTCGAAATTAGGACAATTTTTAATCTTGGCTCATGTCGTGACTGGCAACCCTATAGTTTGGTAGACATGGGGAATTTGAGTTCCATGAGTATCTGATCTTCCATTTTACCAGAATTGTGATTCCTATCATTGATTATGGGAATGAGTTATTATGATGATGTTGAAGTGAAGGACTTACATCAGAACTGGAAGCATGCGGATATGAGATATACACTATAGATTAACTTATTCAGCCTTCTCAAATACGATGATAATAATCACCGAGAAAGGGATTTGATGTGACCCATGTAGCGAAGAACTACGAAACCCACAAATAGATTGAAATCAAATCCAAGAAAGCCACTATGCCAAAAAACATCATTTGCAACATTAAAAATCTAAAAAGGTCTTTTGGCAACATTTAGTTAAGTGAATGTTGCCAATGACTAATATAAATGAGTTTTGGCAACATTTTTTTAAAAGAATGTTGCGAAAAACCCCCTTTTGCAACGTTTATGGAGTGTTGCGGAAGGTGAGACCTTTAGCAACTTTTATCAAACGTTGCGAAAGGTCTCACTTTTCGCAACGTTAATAAACGTTGCGAAAGGGGATCTATCGCAACGTTTATTAAAAGTTGCGAAAAGGACCTTTCGCAACGTTTAATAAACGTTGCGAAAAGATTCAACCCTTATTTAAATATTTCAACCTTAAACGTTGCGAAAAGATTCAACCCTTATTTAAATATTTCAACCCTTATTCACGCCTCCCTTATTAACCCAATCCTAGCCCTTATCACGCCTCCCTCCCTCCCTCCAAACCCAGCCCTTACCTTATTCACGTTTCCCTATCTCTCTCTCTCTCTCTCTCTCTCCCTCCATTCATCCACCTTCTTTGATTCTCTCGCTGCCTTGCCAAAACCTACCCTGCCTCCGCTTCGAAGATGTAGATCGTCGTGAAAACCCTAACCGACCATCGTGAAAACCCTAAAGTCAGTTCAACATATACGGCCGCCTTCTATTTCTTCGTCGGCTGTTCATTTTCTTCTTCGGTGCTCGTATGCCAAAGTTAAAAGGTTTACCTTCGCTAATTTTGCCCATTTGTTTAGTTCTAGTGTTCTACACTCTCACATTTGGTTGTACCTTGATTATTACTAGTTTTTTATTTCTATGAGTGATTTGCCCTACTGGCTTGGCATACTCGTGTTACACACTACGTTTTGGGGGTTTGCACCTTTGATTACTGTGCGTATTTATTATTATCTGGTAGTTCCCGTTTTGCTTGTTATGGATATGGAATACCCATTTATTGGCGAATCTCTATGTTGTTGAACATTGATCTTTAAATATTGTGCCTTTCGAATCCGAATTATGTTCAAGTTTTTTTTTTTTTTTTGGGATGCTCTGATGATTTGTTCAATGCTCCAGAGCTTGTACATTTCAAAGATCATACCTTGCTAATTAGGGGCATATGTCTAAATATGTTTACTTGTGTTATGGATTGGTCAATTCGGTACTGTAGGTATCACTTGTTCAGAGGTTGCAACTTGCTTAATTTCCATTTATACAAACTTTCATGCATGATTTTGACCAACGGATGTAGCATTCTCTATCTTTCTATCTCATGTTTCATGGGCATTGCTTATTCTTATATATCTGAATACATTGGGTATAATGGGTTTACCGAGCTATAACAAAATAAGCCTTGCGCTTCGGACCCAATTTGAGATTTGGTCAATTTAAAAAGTACTCATTTGATCGGAAAAACGTTTAAGGTTGGAGAAAAATCCCACAGGCTTGTTCACTGACTCAAGTGCACCCAAATACACGCAGGTGTGAGGGGAAATAAAAAATAAAACTATGTATTAGTGTATCATCATACTGAAACATGAGCAACTCATGCATTGGTGAAATGGCTGTGATCTGTGCAAATGGTCAGTAAGTTTACCTATTTCATTATGTTAGTAGCATAAATTCCAGTAGATTGTTAGTTCCTTGATGGGGCTAGTACCTACATTTGGCTTAAATATGACATTGCATTTGTTCTCAATGATTCTGTTGTGGTTTCAAAATGGCTCTTTCTTTCACTAGATTTTCATGGTGGTTATTGGGAGGTAAAGAGAAAGAGCAAGTATCAAATGGTTCATGGATGAATCCAATAAATTCTTTGGGTGATTGGGGTCTAATCAGCAGTACTTTAGTGCCATGAAGAACCTCCCATATGAGTACTCTGCTGGTAAGAGCTGAGCTGTATTGAAGAAATGCATATTTTTTGTCCTTAAATTATATGTTCATAACTAGGTGTTTATAACTGCATATGCAGGCACAGAAGGTTCTGCTTGGGAGATTTAAGCAACTCCAAATCAGAATTCATCGTGGGGTGCTGCCACAGCTGATGAGAAAATGGTTGCCAACACGGATCAGTTGGTAGCTGGGGAACAAGTAGAGATGATACGGATGAGAAAATGGTTGCCAACACGGTCTGCATGGAGTGCCTGAGAAGCAGCCATAGAAGATAATTTAANAAAAAAAAAAAAAAAAAAAACGCTGCAAAAGACCTTTTTGCAGCGTTTTTTAAATGTTGTCGTATCTCTTCCCTCTTTGGCAACACTGAACTTTGCAACACATGCTGAAACATTGCTAAAGGCCTTCTGCAGCGTTTTTTGGCCGCTGCAAAAGGCCTTTTTGGCGTAGTGAACCAAAGAACCAAAGTTTTAGATTTGATTCGAAAAATAACAAATCAAAATAACCAACAAAACGTAATCGAATGTTGACCCTTTCGATTGATTATTTGGGAATCTCACTCAGTTGATTTGAACGCCAAAAGAAAGATTCTTGATATGTTCGCAAATTATCCAACGAAGAACAATGGATTGAAAGCAAATTTGCCTCGCAAAATAATTCTCAATAATGTGTTGTGTTCTTACAATGAAGAATGAAAATCCTATTTATTCTAGCCCTAAAATCGAGCAAAAACCGTGCATATTATTCCTAAGATTACAAAATTATGGTAAGAGTATAATTCTATTGCAATTAAGAAATCCGCGAAAAAATGAAAAATATCACCTCGCTTTTGACCTATGCGACCGCATGGTATAATTGGATGCGGTCACATGGTTCATCTGAAATGCGACCTGGAATTCCCTGCATGACTCCATGGGCTGCATGGTGTTTTCTACCGTACGGTCGCATGGCTGTAATTAATCCTCTTTTTCCTTGTATAGAATTTCGTGCCATTTTCGGATTGTACTCATGAACTGAAATTTGACACCTGAGCTGAAAGTTATACACGTTTTCATCCATGCTTCTTATTAGCTGCTTGAACCGAGTTGATCCGTTTGGTTTCTTCTTCCGAACCCAACATGAAACTTGTTCATTGGCTTGTTAACTTTATTGTTTCGTCCACCGTAACTTGAGCAGGCAATCACATCGCCTCTTTTACCTTCTTTTCTCTTGACCGTGTCATTAGACCTCCCTTGATAATCAATAGATCATTTCCCAGGCTTGATTTTGACACACTCGACTCCGTGCTTACATCAGGATTTTTTGAATATTTTTGCACTATGCAATCTTATTCTTTAACTTGCTTTTGCCATTGGTTTCTGTTGCTGGTTTTAACTAGTTATTCTCAATTGTTTTTGTTTCTAAAATAATTTACTTGTATTTTGTTAGTCCGGTGGAACTAAAAAACTTCGGTAATTAGTTTGATGAGTTGAATTGTACAAGATAAATAACAAATTTATTAGAATGTCCAAGACAACTTGAATGCAAAACTTAGCCACAACTATTATTTAAAAACCCTTTTTCTTACATATTCATTTACAACCACACATTCACATAATAAAGAGTAATGCAATGTAGTTTCACTGGGTTACAACTCTAATGTAGGCAGCGCTAGATGCTATGCTAAATGAAAGGTCAAATTAAATGATTTATTTAATTTTACCTATCATTTAATATCATGTTAACCCCACCTAGACTGGAATTGTAGCCCCTATAGGGCTAAATAACATTACTCTACAATAAAATATTGTGCACGTAAGCTAAAATGTTTTCTTTACTTTGTCATTGCACAGTCTTTTAAAAATCACTATTTAAAATATCTTTTTTTTTTCCAGATAATGATTGTCAAATGGGGTCTTAGCAAGCAACTTGATTCAAATGTTGGCCGATGCAAAAAGGAAAAATAGATAAATTTGCAATTAAGCTGTACACTTGTTTGCGTAACAATAAACAAGATATTAGCATCTTTTCTACTTGCAACTAAAAATTTCATCATGTTTAGGCTCAAACCACGTGTTGCTACAGGGACAGAAGGAGAGGGAGGTCTAGGTTTTAAATTTTTAATGGATTTTTTTCTCAAATAAAAATTTCATTTTTTTTTCTATTAGATTTTTTTTTTTCAATGTATCGGTCAAGTATAAAAAAAATTATTTTATACTCCTGGCTCTGCCCTCAAAGAATAGGGTTGACATCAAGGAAGTCTATAGAAGAATTAAATGTGTGCAAGAGAAACCAAGATACAGTCATGTGGTTCCCAAGCATAAAATGGACTGCGTAACAGAACTATTACGTGACAGAAAGCCACAAATGTAAGCAACGATTTAGTGTGTGTTTGATTCTCTTTATTTGATGCAACCGGACCTGCTCGCCTAGTATCTACCATGTAAGAAAAGACACAATTTTGGTGCATCTTCCTTGCAATCTCATTTTGTTTATATTTTGGGCTTCATTTTCATATTTTTCTTTGGGGTGAAAGTGCTAGTGAATCATGCATTCTTTTTGGAGGCTTCTGGTAATCCCTATTGTAAGAATTCACAGCATTCTTTAACATGAATTTCAGATCAAGAAACTTACTTGAAAAGATGAATTCCAAGATCTTTTGATAGCTGAATCACCTTGCATTCCAAAGCTCCAAAATTTAAATTTCTTGTTCTCTAATGGTCTCAATCCCGATCATAATGGAAGGTGATTATTATTCACAATCTAAGTGTTAATTTTTGTGAGATTTTATGTCCAAAATATGGTTCTAAGGACTTTCCAATTTTGATGTAAATTTCCATACGAATTTTCCCTTCATTTTCTATGTCATCTTTTTCCCTCTTTTTCCAATGTACAATCATTGGAGGTTGTATGGGAGTTAAGGGTGGTTATAGGGAATTGCATGGCTGAACTTCAAATTCAAACCACTCCCTCCAACCCCTTCAATAACTTGTAGGTCGGGTCATTCCATTTGGGTGACTTACGACCCGTATTTTTCTAACATCTCCCACTCGCATATGATGGGCTTTATCCGAACCACAAAGGACAACGAATGTCACACATTACATCTTTGTCAAGATCTATCTCACAAAAAATTCATACGACAAATAGATCGTGCGACCAGTGAGTAATATTAGAGCTCACAGTACTATAAACCTATTAGGGATATATAGTAGCTTTACTAGAGGAACATTACATCTCGCTATACCCCAAACTTATTTTCCAACATTGATTCAAGTATTTCCGATCCCTAGAATATTTATGGAACATACTTGAATCCTACATCATATCATTGTATTCACAATTGTGTTCTATACCCTAAATAGTTAAACACAATTGTCCGACCGGTGAATACAAATATAAGTGTTGGTCAAAATAGTTTTCCTTTCCTGCTTGAATCCTTCAACTTTAAATCAGCCGTTTTCCTAAATATGTTACATCAAACCGAATCAATCATAATTATTGGCAACATG